GTAAAAGTTGGTAAATAAAGAAATTATCTAATTACGCCTTTTCATAAAATCACAAATAAGTTCGTGTTGAACAGATTTAACCTTTAGTTTTAAAATACTAAGTGAATATTTTCGGTTTCACAGATTTTATCCATACAAGTTGAAATGGTGATTAATAGCATGTTTTTTAAAGCTTGCTAATCTAAGTACTAGGTATTATTTATTTATTTATTAAAAAAAGACCTGATACATTATAGGCACCAACATTTGCGCTGCATAGCACTAATAAAACAACAGTTTACGAGGAAATTGGGGATAGAATCAATGAAGGAAGTCATCCAGAAAGCAAGTAAGCATGCATTTTAAGCTCACGCATCTCTCATTACTTTCCGTTACCTTCAAAAAGAGAGGAAAGGAGGAAATTGAATCATGTTTGCCGTCGTTTGCAATTGTTGGCCATATCTGATAACGTCTCTAGCCACCAATATGAATCATCTTTCGGACTACACCCAGGAAGTCGTGGTGTACCATTGGTTGGACGCTAACTTAAGACAATTATCATTTATCCGCAGTGCTGAGTCACAGGCCGACCACTTCTTTGCTTTTTTCATCCAGTTCCAGGGCTAGCGAACAGAAAACGACACGGAAACCTTTGGAATAACATTCGTAGCACATTTCAAAGATACCGAAGCAGGTGTTTCCAGATGACGGCGCTCAATAAATGGTGATCTCCACCATGTCTGAATTCACTCTGCTGGACCTCAGAATCACTCTATGATGATATCAACGGTCTGGAGCAATTCTACGGGAACAGAGTCGCTGCATATTCTCTACTTGGTGAGTCCAAGTTTCGTAGGCGTAGTTACTTGGAATCAATCGACAGGAAACCCTGGAACTATGTTTCCTGCTTATTGACACACTTCAGTGAGATATTTTTGGAACCTTTCTTTGTTGAAGAAGACAGCACTGACAACCAACCATAAGTGTAGATACGGATATAAATCATAACGTTTGTGTTTTCCAGTAAATGTGTGATGAAACAGGAAATATAGACTAAATTTGGGCGTTCACACTGATGACTCAGTCTAAACTAATGATACTTTTAATTTAATTTTAAGTGAAAAGTCACAAATATAACTGACAACATATGGTGTACAAGTTTAAGACGGTGTTATCAGGGCTCAGTTAACCAAAATAGGCATTTTATATACCAGGCTATTTAGGCACTGTTTAGGGTCTAATAACATCATCCAGTTGTTCCGGTAGAAGTAGGCAGAGCAGGTAAAATTACACAGTAATGTATAATATTATTCAGTGATTAGAAGCGACAAACTGTGTTCGAAAATTCATCAGTAAATAATGCCTGATATCACTGTGTGAATTTATCAAACATATCTACTCTATACAGGATTTTCATCATGAGCCGACATCAGTTAGAGAACCACTGGAAAGAGAAAGAACGAACATATTTGCAGGATAATACGAGCTCGTTTTATTTCGTGGATTCTCATCAACTGCACACATCCTAAACAAAATCAAATTATAGGTTTCAAGAAAGTTGTGGAACATACTTTTTCATAAATACTTTGAGTTATAGATAGAAGGCATAAGGAACATAATTCCAGAAATTGATGTAGGTAGACAGATTATTCGGTGTCAAAAAACAACTAATTATATATAGTGGAATTGGATAAGAGGGGTAAGAGTTCAGATTTCTATTGGAAAACAACACAGATTGGTTAGAGGCATATTACAGGGTCAGGGTCAGAGAACAAAGTAAATTTACACATCTTGTGGTGGAGAGTTTAAGAGGGTGGGGGTGACTAGTGAAGTAACATTTATAACTTAAACACACAAACAATTAAGTAGATTTAGAAACTTGAAGGTCAAAATTGAATAGAATGTTACGTAACAAGGCAAACACACAGGCATACTGACAGAAAGGCAAAACAAAAATAAAATAAAATAGAGTTAGGGTTACCAAGGTAGTGAAAGGTTAATCACACTATCTTTCTGTATACAAAGGTCTGGTCGAAATCTCTTGATAGCAATGGCTTCTGCGAAGCGAAGTAGCCGTGGGTTTCTTTGTGTATTGATTATTTTGAAGGCTTGGCTGATTTCTACTGTGTGTCCTGTGTCAATTAGATGTCTGGCGATTGCACTTGTTAACACTTTTCTTCCTTTCGTACGGAGACTCTTAGGAATGTGTTCGGAAAATCTAGTAGATGCTGTCCTCTCAGTCCTTCCTATGTACTTGCTACCGCAGGTGCACGTGAATTGGTAAATGCAGTTGGAGTTGACGTGAGTAGGGAACTCATCTACTTTTGACTGGGTTAACGAGCACACAGTGTTGTGAAGTAGGATCAGTCTGGCGGCTGGGAACGTTCTTTTCAATGCACCTGTGATTCTTTTTTGTGTTCTTGTAGATACGTCTTCCCCTTTGTACGCTAGACAGATGAAAACTGGTTTCTTTTCAACGGTGTCGGGTTTCGGTTTGTGTACTTCCTCATTTCTATATTTTAATATGAACTTTCGAGGATATCCATTCTCGATAAGGTTCTTTTCGATGATCTCAAGTTCTTCTTCAATCTTGTCTTCTGAACATATTTCTTTGGCTCTGCTGAAGAGCGTTTTTACTAGACATCGTTTGTAACTGGTTGGGCAGAAGCTATGATAATGTAGGTATTGACCAGTCCAAGTTTCTTTCCTGTAGACAGATTTTTGGATTGTCCCATCGTTTCTTCTTTTTATGTTGACATCTAGGAAGTGGAACTGGTTGTTTCTTTCGTAGTCAATTGTGAATGCGATGTTGGGATGGGCCGCGTTGAGTTTCTCAAACATTGTGGACGCGTGTTCTAATTCATTGCAGACCACAAACGTGTCGTCGACATATCTGCAGTAATAGGTGGTTCTTTCTATTTCTTCTTTCATTTGAGTCTGTTCAAGATGAGCCATGAATATGTCAGCAAGAACAGGACCCAGAGGTGAACCCATAGCCACCCCGTCAATCTGCCGGTACAGCTGATTGTTGAATCGGAATTGAATATTCTTTGTACATAGAAATAACAATTTGCGTAGCTCATTTTCTGGAAGAGGGAGCAGTTCGGACTGCTGGCATATGATTCTTACTGTTTCTTCGATGGGTATGCTGGTAAACAGTGAACAAACGTCGTATGACACGAGAAGTCTATCTGAAATATTGAGTTGTTTTGCCTTTCTGTCAGTATGCCTGTGTGTTTGCCTTGTTACGTAACATTCTATTCAATTTTGACCTTCAAGTTTCTAAATCTACTTAATTGTTTGTGTGTTTAAGTTATAAATGTTACTTCACTAGTCACCCCCACCCTCTTAAACTCTCCACCACAAGATGTGTAAATTTACTTTGTTCTCTGACCCTGACCCTGTAATATGCCTCTAACCAATCTGTGTTGTTTTCCAATAGAAATCTGAACTCTTACCCCTCTTATCCAATTCCACTATATATAATTAGTTGTTTTTTGACACCGAATAATCTGTCTACCTACATCAATTTCTGGAATTATGTTCCTTATGCCTTCTATCTATAACTCAAAGTATTTATGAAAAAGTATGTTCCACAACTTTCTTGAAACCTATAATTTGATTTTGTTTAGGATGTATGCAGTTGATGAGAATCCACGAAATAAAACGAGCTCGTATTATCCTGCAAATATGTTCGTTCTTTCTCTCTTCAAACTAATAAAGGGAACCGGTTGCATGAAACCACTGAAAAACCTGGGAGTACTGGACAGCTGTTTCGTCCTAGTTTGGGAATCTTCAGGAGTACGCACCCACCACAGGGGTTCGAACCCAGGACCTTCTGGTTACAAGATGAGCTAGCTCTTATGCCATTCAGCCACTGGAACCTGATCCAATGGCCCATGAATTCTAAATTCTGCCAATTCACGAAATAGCGCGACCCCTAGCTAATGTCTTTCGGGAGTATTTGTCCTCACACCCGACCTGCTGCACCCTACTGGTCACGACTTCTCACTAGATCCCCAGGCAACTACCTACCTGAATAAGGCAAGTCGCTAGCCCAATGGTTCCAATGGTTCTCTAACTAATGTCAGCTCAGGATGAAAATCCTGTAACCAATCAAATCCCTACAAACCAACACTTGAATATTTACTCTTTGATGGGATTATGCCAAGTTCTTTTCTTACAGGCGGAGCAGGATTCGAAAACCGGACTCAATGGTCAAAAGTAGAGTACTTAAGTCAATCACCAGTATCTTACGTATGCTGCCATGTAATTTGAACCAGTGCCCACCTGATAAAAATCCGGCGGCATACAGGTTAAGATAGTCTTTCAGCACTCCGGACCAAATCACTATAAATGAATGATATCTACACTTCAGTAATAAAGATGGTCCTATAGCCACTCATATGTGAATAAAATGGGAAACAATTTCCATAATTTTATTGAGATGCAATTATTTTTTCTTATTTCAAATAATTAGGCATCTCTACCATATATTTGTACTTCAGCTGTTCGAAGAAATGAGTGAAATGGCTGTACGGTGTTTAGATAACATCCTGCTGGCTAGCAACCCCTACTGGTTGATCTGGATAATATACAGCTACTCATCTCAGTCAATCAATAGTATGCAGTTTTATATATTTGTGCTCTCTTTCTTGATCACCATTTACTGCAGGATCAAGCAGATGACATTATGTGATCGGAAGAATTTCGGCATACAAAGGAAATTCTAGTGAAATTTTATCCCAGACGCTGTAAACTGAAAAAATAACGAATGCAATTGAAAACTGCGAATTTGATACACTGTGTACGTATTTGAATAATTATCATTTCAGTATGCAAGGACATTTTGTAAAATAATCATTGATCAATAGGAATGTTCATCAGTTCATTTTTTTTTCAGTTGAGCATTACAACTGTATTTAAATATTTAACAGTATGCAGAAATTTATTTTTTTTCTAAATAGTGATTACAACGATAATTCTGATAATTTGTTTCACTTATAAAATATACAGTGGTGATGTATTATTCAACTTTGTTACTGATAACAGTCCTACTTTTTGAAGTTTACCAGTCTTCCCCAATTAATTATCCCTCATACATTGATGATAATACTCACTACGTTACATTAGCTTCACCAAAAGTAAATAAAGAGATTTATAAAGAATCAGAGTATGTAACGCATTTGAAGCAGAGTACAACATTTGAAATTGATCCAAATGATGAGGACATTGATTATGATTCTTCTGGCAATAATGAATACTACTACACCAGCAATAATCAAAATCATGATAAAGATAATCAACAGTATTTTGAATCTGGCCATATGGACGAAGAATCTTCAAAATATCACAAAGAATTTAGAAAACAACAAGTGTATAGTCAACAATTCGAGCATATACCACAAGGTAGAGTCAATCAGTATTCAGGCCACGGGACAGTCTATAACCTGTATGATCAAGGAGATTTGTATAATTATTATAGTACAGGTGAAGACAGCAATCTGGATTTATATAGTACGTTTGAAGAATATACTACTGACTACTCTCCGAATAACGATATGCATTTCGACTCATACAGTTATGATGCTGATATTGATAATTTTTACAATGAACAGCTTCAAACTGCTTTTAACAGGAATAAGTACTATAATGAGTTTAATCACAATAACCATGATATACATTATTCAGCTAGACCGAAAAATGTCAGAAATAAACATGACAAACGCAACACATTTGGGAGAATAAACTCCTTGTATAAGGGTGGATACGATCAAACTGGAAATGGTAGAAATCAGTTGCAGATGGATGTAAAACAGAAGTATAGTAATAATTACTACAGACATAGATATAATGGATACTAACGTTCAACAGCAATGTCGAGGTGGTTATCTCCACTGACTACTCAAAAATGCGCATGCCACTGCTGTAGCTATTAATAACAGTATTAATAATGACAGTGTTAGCAATGAAATCTTATGCTACCGACTACTTCTTGTGGAATTATACTGGGAAAATTCAAACTTTACTCTATTTACAGAAATATTTCATTACTTTATTTAAGACTATTTTTATTGGAAAGATAAAATTAACTAAAAATAATTGAATAATACAGAATAATTTTTTGACTTATTCCGTCTAAATTGTCATCAACTTCTGAGCTATTATTTTACATATATCAGTACAATATTCACGTGGATTATTTCTGTAATGGTGGTATTGGGGTTTCTTCAAGTTTCGGTCACTCATAATTTCACCAGTGGCAACATTAGTGACTACTCAATGGATTAGGTTTTGGATTAATATGAAATCCATTCTAAACCAGTCACTATGGTTACTGAATAAGATGAAATTTTCCTTCACCAATAACATCACTATGAATTTGCAATTACGGGGGAATCATTTACGTAGAAACTGGTAGTACTCTTACTACTACTACTTACGGTGCTGAAATCTCTACCTAGTTTTCATTTTCATTCATCATCGGAACTATTGGGTAATTAGCAACTGGTGAAATTTTGATTGTATAATAAAGTCGGTGCTCTCCAAAAAGGAATATACTAGTCAACTGATGTTAGCTTTTCAGTCTATTTTCTACTTTATTGTTCCAAATATTTCTCTGATCATTGGAACAGAAATGAGTATGATAATGTGGTTTTATTTCCCCCTTGATAGAAAAAACACACTTTTCATGGTGTTCACCTAAAATATTATTTATCATCAGTGACTGGCACTAAAACCTAAAGGGTGCGCTCCATTATGTCCAAGACTTGGAAGCATGAAATGACTGGATTCGTATGAATTATATGAGTTTCGCTAAGAACTAAAAAACCGTTACTTCAAACGCCGTTAATTTGTTCATTTGCTAATAGATAACCCTACTGGACAGGATTTCTTTGTTAATACTTGGCTCTGTATCTTGGTGTGGTTATGGACGTCCACTGATGAAGAGTCCCATAGCAAAAAAGAACAGTTGTCCAGTGTTGCATGATCTTCAATGATTCTCTAGATCACAGTAGTTTCCTAAGTCATCTGGACAAATTAGACAAAATGCACTAGAAATACGCACTGTCCATAGAATTATTTTATACTAGTGTTGAAATTCTATTTACAGATGAACCGACTTCCTCTGTTAACAGTCACACTTTACAGACTCCAGTTTATTAGAGGTGACATAAGATACATTCAATGATGCGCTTTCTGTAGTATCTGGGACTCTCAGCCTTGAGGTACCTGCATCCCAGTGTGATCGTTTTACCGCTGAGACACTAACGAGGACTTTTCGATTATGCCTTGAGATGTGGCCCAGCGAATTAGGCTTTGGGATTCTAAACGATGACACTAGCTTTGATGATGAGTTGAAACAGCATAACACTTGAAAACAGATACACCCATCTGACGAATCCTAGACAGGTTAATACCCGCGTCCTCGTCTTCACTGTTTGCCACTACTCACTAGATAATATCACCAAAGAGTACATATTAAAAACCGATATGTCGACGGAGCATTTCGGTTCAATAAGATCAGACAATGGGAAATCTTTAAAATGTCTTAATAAATAACTAATTAACGGATATTAAAAATCAACTGATAGAAGTTTCTGCAGCACACTAAAGTGCTTGAAGTTTTGTTGTGTTATTCGATCGACTGATAACACTGCACTCCTTATCAATACTCTTTCTATCAATTTTCACTAACAAACAGTTGTACTGATTATCATACGACATCCGATTTTCTATAATGCGTTTGAGTTACTGTAAAGTGGATGTTTTTTGGGGGCTTTAGTGGGAGGGATGTGAAAATGAGTTTCTTTCGCAGATATTTGATACAGCTGAAAGTCTTACAGTTAATTACAAAACAACGCAAAATGTCTGATAAGGGATTATCACGAGAACCAAATATATTGAAGAAGTGATCAATAGATAACAGGCATACAAAACCAGCTGAAATTTACATGTTTGCTTTATCTTTTAAAAGTTCAAATCAAAGGCTCAGGAGTCAGTAATAAGGTTACAGTCTGTAGAACTCACTGAACTGATTGGCTTATAATAGTTTTGTTGAGTTTCCTGAAGTTTTTACGAAGAACAACATTTTTGTAGTCAGAATATATGAGGATCATTATGAATTATGTTTCTATCTATAGTTTGGGACTCTTCAGTAGACTGGGCAATTTTACAATTCAGCCTCTGAAGTCGAAAACAGTGGCTCATGAATTCTAACTCCTATCATTTCCTGAAATAGTTTCATCACTCGACTAAGTGAAAATTGCAGTCTTCGCCTTCTTCTCCTTATAACTGTAGGAACTTCATGCTGATGTAAGTCACTAATAAATAGTTGATTACTCCAAAGACGCTGGGTACACTGACTTTGAAACCAGTAGAAAACAGCTGTTTACTATTACATGTTACGCTTCAATTTTTTTTATGGTAAAGTGTCTGAATAGATCAGTGAGTGATATAACTTCCAGTATTCAATGAAGAATAAAAGTAATCACAGTTTGAGAAACAACTTTCTACAGAATGTGAAAAAGCTCGAAATCTAAACTATAGACTACTCATATAGTACTTCCAGTATTCCCTGGCTCTTAAAGCATTCAAAGCATCATATTTTACACACATTTTACTAACTGTTACTTAATGATCAGTTAGCCAGTCATGTTTTAATTGTGTACCTGTTGACTGCTTTTTGCAGTCATCTAACTATCACTATGAGTGTGTAAGAGATTCTGTTCCACAAGCACTTCAATAAGAAACGGGTAAAATAAAAAGTGGAGAATGCCCATGGGGGCATAACAGACAGAAAAAAAGAAGCTGAAGAAAGATATATTTTCGGTGGTTTTATCTTCAGAAGTCATACATTTATTATTTAGTTGAGCATAGAGATAAAATTTGCCTAGTAGGACTATATAGAGGCGGCAGTTATTCAGTCAAAAGCATTATAACGTAACACCTCATCAGCATATCGCACAACCTCTCAAGAGACCCATCATTCAGAGTCATTTACAAAGTAAACAGGAGACCTCTCCATATGCAATTAGAAGGTGCAGCTATGTGTTCAAAAGAAATTAATCTAACCCCTACATTTACTCTGGATCTAGTCCTGTTTAACTCCATTTTTTATCCCTTTCATTTTTTTAATCTTCAGTCATGAAGACGAATATTTCAGTTTGTTTCTGTTCCATCCCATCTTCTTTGGAAATTATTCAACACATTGCGCAATAATTCTTCTAACCGTGTATTGTTTTGTTTCTGTGTTCCTTCGCATGTATGTTCATCTTTCATCACACCTTCAAATCTTCATATCAAGTTGAAAATTATTACTTTCATTAATCCGCCTTCATTACTATTTTGAGCTAAATAATTGTTCTAACTATATGAACTTTTGCATGAAAGTGCGTGGCTTTTGAGGCTGAAATTTCCGTAAAGATCTCTTTGTTTCTTCACTCTTAAACACACTAACTCATCTCAAAATAAATACTTTAAATTCAATTTGTCTCGCTAACTAGCACTATCCTAGATTTAGAAATGCGAAATAACTTTATTTTCAATATTAATTAAATAACTAATTTCTCCACATATAGAAAAAATGTCTACACTTTTGCATCAAAAAAATAAAATGAAATCAAATTTGTGCTTAGTTATCAATTATCAATAAGAAATACTATAAAATGTTGAATTTATACTTAAGTACATACGAAAACAAAATTGTTTAAGTTAGTCAAAATAATACAGTGCAATGAATCAATTTTTGTTGTTGATAGTATCTAAAAGAAAAAAGAAAAACCAAAATTAACTACGTAGTGCATCTTATGTAACATTATGTCTCGATTATCATAACACTCTGTTTACGCAGTATTCAATGTTTAATTTGTTTAGGTTGATGCATGTCCTTTTGTTTTCATTTCAATGAGAATTTCATCGTGTATACACAAGGATCAGTGAATAACATAATCATGCATTTATTGATTTTAATCTTATTCACCTGGACGTATACAACACACGGAGTCATTCATACCAGTGTCCATAAACATCTCATCCCATATTACTATAATGCTAAGAGTTATCGAAGTTATTATTTGAACAAGAGACATACTACTAATAATTACTATTCGTATTATAGACCGTTGTCCACCTGGAATAGTTATCACCATCCTTATAAGAAGCATAATAATAATAACAATAGTAGTAATAATAATTATTATCAAAGATTCAACTACCAAATAATTCCTGGTGTGGAAAAACTGAAATTTATTGAAACTGAGACAAAGACCGAGACTAAGGAATACAATGATATCAGTACAGAGCACAGAAAAAATGATCGATCAACTCTACCTGATCAGATGAATTACAACTCAACATTATTCACTGGAGGTGATAAATCTGACGAACAATTGTTTGGACAAAGCAGTCATCAACAGCATGATAAGAAAAGAATTCCCGGTGATAAAGCAACATTGAGTATGAATGATAACAATGGGCCAATAGGATATGCCTATAATAAGTATCATTATAACTATTACGATAATTATCAGAAGAATATAAACCCACAGAGTAATAACAATCCATATTTATCCAAAACGTTTCTGAGAAAATCAAAAGGAAAATACCACTACGACAGACAAGTGATAAAACAGCGTGAAGCATTGTACTACATTGTAATTCGTCAGCCAAAGAAATATTACTGATCCACACTACCTCTTTCCCCCTCGCACCCTGAAACAGTACAGTGTCAGTTTATGACAGTTGTTATTCTTTGTTATATTTCACCACAGAATTTGAAGTATTTACTTTTAAATATATGTCTATTATGTGAAAATGAATACTTCTCATATCAGTGGGTAGGTTAAGTTAGCTTTGAGTATAC